GTCAGCATATTGCCCCCAACAACAATCCGGGTCCTCATTTTACCCACCTCGGAAGGATGGAAGGCTGAGTCAACCTTGAGCCGCTAAGATTTGAACCACAGAACTGCAGTCAGCTGAAGTAGCCTGCAGTGCTGCACTGCGCCACCTCGGCTCTATATGGCTTTGCTTATCAGAAGGGGATATCCAATAACTCTTGGGACACCGCAGCAGCCATAAATATAAAGCGGTTGCCAAGCATCTGAATTTCGATTGCACGATCACGGGGATGCTGCGAAAGTCTTAACTCTGAAAAACGGTCATGAGTCACATTTTTCAGCGCCGTTGTAACTTTAAACGGTCACTAAATGAACTGTCGCAAGTCGAGGACTACCTATCTGTGGGAAAAAACATCAGGGTTATCAGAAGAGTTGCAGCAGGAGTTATTTTGCTTTGTTTTAGAATTGTGTGTCCTTCATGGTGTTCTCCCCTTTTTGTGTGTGTGTGTTGGGGGGGGGGCGGTTTCCCCAGCTGGATTTGGTATTGCATAAATGCAGCTTTGTTAAGGCAAGCTTTGTTAAAGCAAGAAGACGTGAGGAAAAAAAACAACGGAGTGTCAATCAGCCTAGGGACGAGCATGAGAGATGTCCTCCTTTCCTGTCTCTTCCAGACGAGGGCTACGAGATCTTGTCTAACTTGCCGGAGAGCGTGGTGTATGCATGCCGACCCTGCTGTGGCAGCGATAAGACCAAGTGGCGAGAGGTCCTTCACTCAGAGCTGCGCAAGGGGCTGCGGCAGGTGCTGCAAGGGTTGCTCAGCTCCAAGTGTGTGGCGCCACTGATGCAGTGTGCACAGGTATGGTTTCCAGAGCATCGTGTGGTGGGAGCATTTCTCTATTTTCCTCTCTTTCTTTCCCCAAGAAAATGTGGTAAGGCAAAGTGTTTGGTGTAGGTGACCAAATGCACTGGCTGCCAATTAGGCAGACATTCTCCCGGGCACTGGGCTAGGGAGGTTAGAGCCCTTGTGAGTGTACAATTTGTTTCTCTGGATCTGCCCAGGGATGGGATTCAGCTGGTTCAGACCGGATGTTAAAGGTCAGCAGTTTGGAGGTTCGAATCCCTAGCACAGCGTTAACAGAGTGAGCTCCCGTTACTTGTCCCAGCTTCTGCCAACCTAGCAGTTGGAAAGCATGTAAAAATGCAAGTAGAAAAATAGGGACCACCTTTGGTGGGAAGGTAACAGTGTTCCCTGCGCCTTTGGCGTTGAGTCATGAGGGCCACATGACCACGGAAATGTCTTCGGACAGTGTTGGCTCTTCGGCTTTGAAACGGAGATGAGCATCGCCCCCTAGAGTCGGGAACGACTAGTGCATATGTGTGAGGGGAACCTTTACCTGTCTCTGATGCTGTTTCCTTATCAGAGCCTTCCAAAGGCTCTGAAGCCGGCCCACAGACTCCCCCTTCATCTCCTCCTCGTCTGACTCTGCAGCTAGCTCTGCTGGCAGCCGACGGGCCACAAGAATTGTCCCAGGAGGGCGTGGCTTATGGTAGAAATTGTAATCCGCATGACAGCAGCACCTTTTCCTCACCTGTTTGCTCTCTGCAGTGCTGTCCGGATGATGGCGTGAAGGTTCACCTCCGGCCCTGCGACCTGCGCACAGTCAACAAGCTCTTTGAACAGGGACATTACTCGTCTGTGGTGAGTGTGGAGAAAAGCATGACGTCCAAGACCCGGAGTGCGGGAGCTACTCGTGACCTCCATTGAGCTTTCTCTCTCTCTGCAGCACAGCTTCAATGAGGACATAGTGGGAGTCCTATTGGGACAAACAGAGGAAGAAGAGGTCACCTTCACTGCAAAGGAACTCTATATTGAGGTACTCCCCTCCCCTCCCCTGTTGGTGGTGGAAGATGGTCTCTTGAATTCATTTAGTTGACATGAGGATTAAAGTGAGCAGGTATGCATAGAGCAGGGGTTGGCAAGCTTAAACACTCAAAGAGCCACGAACCGGAAGGCCCCCCCCCCTTTCCCGGGTTCAATTTTGGAGCCAACTGGAAGTCCAGTTCCCCCACCATAGAGTCTCCTCCTAGCATGGCATCCTTTTTCCTCTACCNGTTCTCTTCCCTAATGATTTCTTCCAAGAGCCACTTCACCAAACTACTCAGAAAGTTAACAACCGGTTCTCCCGAAGTGGTGCGAACCGGCTGAATCCCATCACTGGTATCAGTGGAGCAAACGTTGAAATCTTAACCTTTGTTTCAGAAGCCGGATGACTACATCGTATCCCCTAATGTAGTCTCTCTCTTCCTCATGCAGGGAACTACTGCCCGATCTGCTTGCACTGTTACGAAGACAATGACTACGAGAGCAAAATGATGCAGTGTGCCAACTGCGACCACTGGGTTCATGCCAAGTGCGAGGGACTTTCAGGTTTGTTGTCTGGAGCAATATGGTTTAGTTCAGGAGGCTGAGCAGGGACAAGCTATTTTGTTGTCCATTCACATTTTGAAGGGAATTAGGGCTAGGCCTAAGATGATGGATCTCATTGTGGTTACATCAAAATCCCTTCCAGACTGGCTTCACTCATTACATTATTACAGGGGTGTCAAACTCAAGGCCTGCGGGCTGGATTCAGCCCGCAATGTGGTCAGATCCTACCACTAGACCGCCCTGGTCTCCCCAAGGCAAAGGGGAAACATCAGGCCAGTGTGGCTTCGACCCACTCTACCCAATGGGAAGAGGAAACATGCAGATTGGTGTGTCAAGCTGGCCACGCCCACACAGGTCAAGCACAGCCCTGAATGAATGAAATTGAGTTTGACACCCCTGCACTATTTTTTTTCAAGCAGGGTATTCAACAAGTAGGTTAGATCAGGCAACCTATTAACGGCAGTTTTCAAAGTCGCCGTTCATTTTAGACACGGCACGAAACTTAGCGTCAAATCTGAATCCAGATATTTCAGGTAGTCCCCAATTTACGACAGCAATTGAGCCCCAAATGTCCATTGTTAAGTGAGACATTTGTTAAACGAATCTTGCCCCATTTCACAACCTTTCCTGCCATATTTCTTAAGTGAAGCACTGCAGTTGATGATAAGTTAGTAACCCGGTGGTTAAGTGAATAGCAATAGCAATAGCAATTAGACTTATATACCG